CCCCAAAACCCCAAAACCCCAAAACCCCAAAACCCCAAAACCCCTAATCATTTCAATCAGATTGAAACCTCTTTAGTAAAATATTTATTCATAACCTGTATCTCTATAGTCAAAAGTCACAGAACCTTTCCTGTTCGGTGACAGAGGTTTAGATGGAGAGGGTGGAACTATGGTCTTTGTCACTGTATCCTTTACCATAGCCTTCTTCTGAGCTAGTATTTTAGAATTCTTTTCAGCTTGCACCTTCGATTCGGCAAGCATTTCTTTCATTTCTACGATTCTTTGTTCTAATACTGCTCATTTATTTTTCCTTCTCTAGAATTTTATCAATTTGTTTGATTTCTTTATTTATCATTAACTGCTTAAGTTTGTCATGCCTGGTCTTTGTCGTCTCATACTCTTGATCTAATACAAAACTCTTATTTATCAAATTCAGACTGCGAAATATTATTCTTCAATGCGATCTTATTTATTCACCAATGCATTCTTTTTCTTCGACACTTTTGCATACTCTTTAAGTACAATTTTATGCTGTTCCTCAATTTCCTTAAGCTCGGCTTGCATTTCCATATTTTCCTTCTTAAACTCCCCTAACTTTGCTGCTGCCTTCTCAACCTTGGTATTAAACTCAGTCTCAGGATTAAGCCTAGTCAGATCCTTCCACTGGGAATAAAGACTTTCTATTAATTTCTTCTTATGTGCTTCTAGTTTCAGCACTTCTTTTGTTAGCTTCTTGATGTTGTTGTTATGTATGCCAAGGCCAGTTCCGAAATGAGATTTTTGAGAAGTTATATTGTTGTCTGCTTCAGTAGCTACTATCTTCTGCTTAAGCCCGAGAATGTACTTCTGAGCAATAACGTTCTGCTTTTGACAATTCTTCAACTCTTCTCGCTTTTCTTTAAGAGTATCAGAGTCTTCAGGCATAGTTCTGTGAGTGACGATGGATTTATTTTAAATTTGACACTCTTTGAATAGTTTCTTTACAGATAATCACTATGCGGGTAATCTTGTCTCTGAGTTTAGCATTGTGAGTAATCATTCCTTCAACATCAAATTCTTCATCCTCTCTATAAAATTAACAGATTATGCATATGATCATAATTTTAAAGAAACGGATATCATTGATTTATTCTTACAGCTCAATTGCTGGAGGCATCTGCTTCTCCAAATAATCCATCATTAGGTCTAATTCTGGAAGGTCTTGGTCAAGCTCGTCTATATCGAAATAATTTGTTGGTGGTTTAGTTGTGTTGGATGATTGCACTCTGATCCTATTGAATTATTAAATCAAATCGTGTGATATCAGCCTCACCTTCCATGATTCTTTTTCCTACGCTCTCTTTTCCCAAAAGAGCCATTGGCTTTTGAGACTCGCATTACATGCTTATTATACGATAAAGCACTTTTATCTCGAATATTGATCTTTCTCCTCTTAGAAGGAGAGCCATATTCTGAATGAGACCCAATAGTATTCATCATATGATGAGGTACTGCTGTTTCTCTAGCCTTTTTAACCGTTCTCTCTTCAGACTTATAAACAGATCTATTTTTAGAACTTTTGGCTGAGCGTTCATGTGACCGATGATCACTCTTCCCAAGACTCTCAAGGGACAATTTCCTTACGGGTTCATCATTCTTAATTTCAGACTCGCTCTCGCTTTCACTTCTCTCTCTATTCACTAAAAATAAGTTTTTCCAAAAGAAAATTCTTACTCATTTGGCGGAGGTTGAGACGTTTCTGAGGGATTGGACTGTAATCAGACATTTGGTTGCCAACTTTGTTAAAACTATTTTCAATTATATTTTAACTATTGGGGTTTTGGGGTTTTGGGGTTTTGGGGTTTTGGGG